GTTCTAAAAAATTACTTTTCGGTATATCTATATAACTTTTAGTACGTATATTTTTCAAACTTTTAGCTCCCCTAAATATAACTTTAGGTTTATCTTCTAAAAAAGGCAGAATTTCATGATCTTGTTGGAGAATATGCCAATTCTTATTAAGGATTCGTTTTAATTGTCTTTGATCTTTACTATAATTAAAAATAAGTGGTATCGTTTCCCCTTCTTTCTCTGTCTTCTCCGTTTCTTGTTTATATGTTAAAAGGGTACTTCTATCTAAATTTTTTATCTTATCTATATCTTTATTCAAATGTTCTAACTCATATCCTCGATGTAAAAATTGATGTTTAAGAATATCGGCCTGGTCGTTAAAAGATTCCAAATCCGAACAGTTTCTCTTGAGTCTTAAAAACTGTCCCCTTGGAACGTTCTCCAACCAAGGCCGATGGTGGCAACTATTTGTATGTATGTAACTGTTCACATCCACTTTCTTGAAAAAAGTTCTCGTCTTAATTTGGTGATTTTCTATATAGATCTCTAAATCTAAAAAATTAATTCTCTTATTACTGATCTCTTGGGTCAGTTGGATATTCCATTGATTATCATTTAAAAAACTTAAAAAAGCTAAAACCTGTGTTTCCTCTCCTTTCCAAATAAAAAAGATATCGTCAATATATCTTTTATAGAGGACCAGATTCGCACACCAGTCATGCATAGAATAAACAAACCTCTTTTCCCAATAAGCCATAAAGAGGTTTGCATAGCTGGGTGCGAACCTGGTCCCCATGGCCGTCCCTTTGCATTGTAAGTAATATTCTCCCTCAAACCAAAAAAAGTTGTTCTGTAAAATAAACAAGATTCCCTCCATAATAAAATCAACTTGGTCCGAGGGATAAAGTGCAGATATCTCCAAAAAATAACGAGTAGCTTCACAGCCCAGGAGGTGATCAATACTAGTATATAAACTAGTGACATCACAAGTCACTAGGATAAAATCATCTTCCCATTTAAAATTATTTAAAATTTGTAATAGACTCATTGAGTCTTTGAGATATGAGGTATTAGTTTTGACAATAGGTTGAAGGTGGGTATCTACATACTTTGATAAGTTGGACAACAAGGATCCTATCCCGGAGACAATAGGTCTTCCTGGGGGATCCTGTATGTTTTTGTGCAACTTTGGTAGAGTGTAGATAACCGGTACTCGTGGTTGGTTAACATTTAAAAAGGCATACTCTTTTTGGGAAAGGATACCCTTATTTAATCCTTGATTAAGATAGTTTTCATATTTCTTCTTCATATCATTTTGGGGATTTTTTTCAAGTTTTCTGTAAGTGGTTATATCACTAAGTTGACGATATATTTCTTTAGTATAGTTATCTCTATCCATAATTGCTATTCCTCCACCTTTGTCTGCCGGTTTTATAACCATGGTTGTATCTTTTTTAAAATCTTCCATAGCATTCTTTTCTTGAATTGTAAGATTATTTATTTTATTTGATTTAATTTCTTTTATATCTTTAATACAAGCTCTTTCAAATACCTTCATACAATTAGATTTAAGATGAATAGGATAAAATTCCCAGATTTTACTATTAACATGACGTAAAGTCATGATTTTATTAAAGACACGGAGGCGAGTATTATGCATATCTCTTTCTTTATTACTCTCAGCAGCAAAGAAATAGAGATAAATAAATAACTGAAAGAACAAAAAAATACAGTGTTCAAGTAACCAATCACATAACAGAGGAAGTGACTATAAAATACTTGAAGCACCCACAATCCCCCTCTTTCTTGCGGATAACGAAGACCAAATACAGAACATCCAACTTCGGCTAACGTAGCCAACCGCAGCTCCAATATGGCAAATCACGAAGAATTCAGGCTAAAGGAGACACAGAAAAAGAAGAAGGTAATAACTGGACTCCAACTGTATGTGCATAATTAAGATAAATAGAACAGCACGTCCAACTCAAACTCTACACACCCAAATACGGTAATACAGCTATAAGGGACATAAATGTAAACCCCAATATATATAGGAAAGTCAGATACAACACATACAATCAAAAAAACTATTAATAACGAACTTATCATACTTACCCACCATACCAGCCAATGCCCAACCCCAACCGGGTGGGTGGGTGGGAATAATACTCGCCTCCGTGTCTTTAATAAAATCATGACTTTACGTCATGTTAATAGTAAAATCTGGGAATTTTATTAAAGACACAGAGGCTCCTATTATGCAAGTTTAAAGCTTAGAAACCACTTGAGATGCAAAATGGTCAATCGGCCTGAAGTAGAAATCACGAAAGGTCGTTTCCCGTGACCAATCCGCCGCACGCAGAATATCTTCTAGGCGGCAGCCCATAGCCGCCGCCTTGGAGGCCATAGCTCCGCGGACTGAATGAGGGGTGAATCTGGACGTATCGATCCCGGCCAGAGATAACAATTCCCGAACCCATCTCGCCAACGTAGGAGTAGACACCGGAAGGTGCGGGGCTCGAAGCGAGATGAACAAGGGGCACAGCTCCGGGGATCGCAACGGTCGAGTAACTTCGAGGTAGGCCTGAAGGCATTCGACTGGACAGAGAGCCGGGTTTCCCTGGAATCTAGGGTAAACAAACACCTTCGAAGCCGACTTCGTTCTCCTGGATATGTTAAAGGAGATGCCCTCCGGGGTGAACGCAATGGCATTCCAGTCCAATGCCCGAACATCCGACACCCTCTTGCAAGATATCAGGCATAGCAACATGACCACCTTTGCTGATAGCTGTTTCAGAGTGAGACCCTGATTTGGATACCAAACCGACAAGAATTGAAGGACCACATTCACGTCCCAGAAGGCAGTGAATCTTGCACGGGGCGGTCTGGTGAGACGGATCCCCTTGAGCAAACGGCATACAAAGGGGTGACGTCCTACGGGCGAACCGTCCAAGCCTTGGTGTCCGGCTGATATAGCGGATCGGCAAAGATTAATAGTGCGGTACGCCTTCCCAGATTCAAACATCCCAGTAAGGAATTCCATGATCACCTGTAAAGGGGCAGATATGGGATCCACTGACCGTTCCACGCACCAACTAGACCATAATCTCCAGGCGGATCGGTACGCCACTCGAGTACCTGGTGCCCATGCACTGTCGAGGAGGTCGAGAGTTGATTGCGGAACCCCTGTGATAGACCAGGGTCCCCTGAAAGAGGCCATGCGATCAGATGTAGGAGGCCGCGTTCCACCAACTCGTGCGAGTTGCCATCCGGATCCCTCAGGAGATTCGGGAAGGTCGGTATCAGGCGTGGGTAATCCGCTGTCAGTTCCAGCAGCCGAGGGAACCAAGGCCGAGACCGCCATAGTGGTGTGATCAGTACCAACGAGCCGCCGTGTTGTGTCAGTTTCGACAGCGTGCGAGCTATCATATTGAACGGGGGGAAAGCGTAGAGCCGAGTCTGCGGCCAGTCTTGAAGGAACGCATCCGTTGCTATTGCCGCTGGGTCCGGTCTCCAACTGAAGAATTTGGGTACTTGTGCGTTGAGACGGGACGCGAAAAGGTCCATGTCGAATGGGCCCCAAATTTGTTCCAGACCCTGGAAGGCCGTAGCGTGCAAGCGCCAATCTCCAGAATCTCTCAAATAGCGTGAGTTCCAATCGGCCGTTGAGTTGTCCAGGCCCGGAATATGTTCCGCCTGCACGGAAATGCTGTTGCGAAGGCAAAATTGCCAGAAGTCCTTCGCCATGAGAGCCAACATGCGCGATTTCGTGCCTCCCAGGTGATTGATGTATCGGACCGCTGATACATTGTCCATCTTGAGCATCACACAACAATTCGCCCGTTCCGGCGTGAGGCTGCGAATAGCGAATGCACCCGCCAGTAGTTCCAGGCAGTTGATGTGGAGTGTTCGTTCCTGAGTCGACCATCTGCCTCCGGTAGATGCGGCACCACAACGCGCGCCCCAGCCGTGTAAACTGGCATCTGACTCTATCACGATGTCCGGGACAGAACCGAATATGGCTCTCCCGTTCCAGGCGTCCATGTGAGCCAGCCACCAGGTCAGCTCGTCTCTGGACTCGTCGTCGAGTCTCACTCTCTGTTCGTAGGAGTGGCCGGCACGTAGATGAGAGCCTTTTAAGCGTTGAAGGGCCCGGTAATGGAGAGGGCCAGGGAAAATTGCCTGTATTGAGGCGGCCAGGAGGCCGATCACCCTCGCCAGATGTCGGATAGAGATGTCGTCTGCACGCAGTGTACGTCTGATTTCCTTCTTGATCGCCTTTGTCTTGGATTCCGGAAGGAACAGGAATTGTTGGACGGAGTCCACTGTAAACCCCAGAAATTCCAGTGTTTGGGTGGGGTCTAATACCGACTTCTCCCAATTGATGAGAAAGCCTAGGTTCTGGAGTAAGGACGTAGTCCATGATACGTGAATCGTCAGTAATTCTCTTGACTGGGCCATCAGCAAGATGTCGTCCAAATAGATGATCAGACGTACACCGCGACTCCGAAGGAAGGATACCACAGGTTTCATGACCTTGGTGAAGCACCAGGGGGCCGAGGAGAGACCGAATGGCAGACAGGTAAACTTCCAGCGTTTTCCCTTCCAGGTGAAATGGAGGAAATCTCTGTGGGCCGAGGTTATAGGCACCGTAAAATAGGCGTCCTTGAGGTCTAGTTTGGCCAACCAGTCGGACTCTTGAAGGAGGTCTCGAAGGCAGTGGATGCCCTCCATCTGGAAGTGGCGATACTGGAGAAAAGCATTGAGGGGGCGGAGGTTGATGACCGGACGCACACCCCCACCTTTCTTCGGGACTAGAAACAGGTTGCTTGTAAAGCCCCGTTGAGTGAACGGGATTTCCTGTATTGCACCTTTGGTGCGCAGTTCCACGATCTCTGAAGAGATCAATTCTTCCTGCTCTCGAGCTAGAGAGAGTTCCCTGGGGACAAAAGTTTGAACAGGAAAGGACACAAAATCTATGTGGTAACCCTTCACTGTTTGAAGAACCCAAGCATCTGCTGTCAGGGCCACCCATGCCCCGTAAAACTGGGCCAATCTGCCCGCCACCCGCTCTCGTGTATGATGGACAAAAGGTGTACTCACCATAAGGGCGTCTGCCTGATGAGGCACCTCTCGGGTAGCGGGGATTCCAGGACCTCCCTCTAGATGGGAAGAACGGAGCCGGTCTGGGCTCTTGGAAGCTTCTGGAAGGGAAAAAGGAGCCTCGCTGGGCTCGATACGAACCCCGGAATCCGCGGCCGGGTGGACGGCTCCTGTTGCGCCCGGCCCCTCCAAAAACTCTAGGGGAAAACACCCTCTTCATATTAGCCTGGGCCTTATCAATGGCTGTGAAGGTTTTAACGTAAGACCCCAGGTCTCTTACGAAATTATCTCCAAAGAGCATCCCCTCAGCCGAGGGACCAGGTTCGGAGACGGCCATGGTAGCCAGTTTAGGATCAATCTTAAGCAGGATTGCCTTCCTGCGCTCAGCGGAGACGGCCATATTAGCATTGCCTAGTAGGCAAATGGCACGTTGCACCCAGCCGATCGCTACATCAAGATCCAGCTCCGCGTCTCCTGCCTTGGCGGCTTCCAAAACTTCATAGGCCTTAGACAGAGGGCCAATGGTGTCCATAATCTTGTCCTGACAATGTCTCAAGGAAAAATCAAGGCCCTTCTTTTGTTTCCAGCCTGATTTGTTGAGGAACTGGGCAATCTGAGGATCGACCTCTGGCGTCTTACACGCCGATCCTGGGACCGAAGGTCTAGGACATTCTGCCCGAAGCTTACTGCGACTCTCCCTAGAGAGTGGCGTACGCATCCGAAGTGCGATATAACGGGCAATATGCTCAGGGGGTTCCCACTCAGCGGAACGAGGATGGCGCAAGTCATCCGGATCAAACAGGGGGTTACCCTGCGGATCCAGAATCCCCGCGTCGCCACTCGCCCCCTGGGCAGCAACACCCCCGGCAGGGAAAGCGCCCCCAGTACGGGGTGCTACGGCAGGGGGAGCTCCCTCCTCCGAGCCGGCTTCTTCATCAGAAGCATAGTCTAGTTCCTCATACTCCTCCTCCTCACTCCGGTCGCTCTCCGACCTTTCGTCACGGGATCTAGCCCGCTTCCATAACCTGGCCGTTTTTGCCCGACCAGAGGCTCTTTTGCGCGGTGGGAGCGCGCCATCTGTGACTGCCTCAGGCGAGTCCGTCAAGGCAGGTAAAACCTGCGTCATGGAGTGGGAGGAGAGATGTTTGGCCTTCACCTTGGCCTTACGGGCACCAGAAGGTGTAACAGGAGTAGGGTCCGTACCCAGGAGGGTAGGATTAGCCACCTGGGGTAGTAAAAGAGACTGCGCTAGAGTCTGGGAAAATGAGGAGGACATAGCCCCCATAGCAGAGGCGAGCGCTCTCTGGAGAGAGGACGCCATAGTGGAGTCCATCAGAGCCTGGAACTCCTCAGAAATAGCCTGACCCTCAGGTAATTCCTGATGGAAGTCAGTAATGTGGCCCTCAGGGCCATCACCCTTATCCTGCATGACTACAGGAAAGGGTTAAACAGTGGGAGTAACAAACACGACAATCAGATCTGAAATCAAAAGGAAAAATGGCAGATAAGTATATAGGAAAAATAATGACAGAATTAGGGTTTAATAACCCAAAGGGACAGGAGCAGAACAGGGTTAAAGATAGCCACAGAAAACATAAGTACATGGAAATCAAAAGAGAAAATACATTACTGAAAACAAGTCAAATCGAAAATATACATATAAATACATATACATATGCTAAACAACGAAAAACTCCTACCCCACAGGTGTGAAACAAGCCTGCACAGTCAGCCCTCAGGGGACGAGAAATAACCGGCAGGGGAGTGTGGCCGATGGACACAAGATGGCCGCCGCACGAGGAAGGAGGACAGGTGGGGGAGGGGGCGCACGCGTGAACACAGCGCGGCCCGACCTGTACACACACCCGGGAGCCGCCGCCTAGGTAAGCGGAGGCTCGCCGGCGTGTAAGCAGACAAATCCCCCGAGACAGGGGAGATCCCCGGCCAGCCGCAGAGACGCGGTCGGGGTGGGAGGGGGCGGGAGGCGGCACAGCCTAATGCGGCCGCGACGGCCCGCCCGGGAGAAAAACCCACAGGGGATAAAAGACACGAAAAGGACTGCAGTAAAAACACTCAAGCTCCTAGCAACTACACATAAGAACTAGGAGCAGATATAAATAAAAAACCATGTAAACATAATATAGTAAATCAATAACAGATCAGAACAGAAAAAGTATGTACTTAACTGGTCTGAGAGCAGCAAAGAAAGAGGGGGATTGTGGGTGCTTCAAGTATTTTATAGTCACTTCCTCTGTTATGTGATTGGTTACTTGAACACTGTATTTTTTTTTGTTCTTTCAGTTATTTATTTATCTCTATTTCTTTGCTGCTGAGAGTAATAAAGAAAGAGATATGCATAATAGGAGCCTCCGTGTCTTTAATAAAATTTAGATTTTTGTTTCAAATTGGTCTGTTTGTATTCTGAAATTGGAGAAATACTAGACCCTGTTTCATTGCTCGGTCTATCATTAAAATTTTTTTTTAAACAAAGTTTTCTCATAAACCTATTTATGTCTGTGTATGCCTCGAATTTGTCCAAGGTACAACTAGGTGCAAATTTTAGACCTTTATTTAAAATCTCAATATGTGCAGGATTTAAAACTTTCTTAGATAAATTAAAAATTCTTATCTCCTCATCATCTTTCCTTTTTGGCCTTTCCAGTTTCTTCCCTCCTCTATTTCCCCTTCTTCTATATCTAAATGCAATTGGGCTCTTATTTATTTTATTTTATTTATATATATGTATATGTGTAAAAACATTGTAAGAAAAAGATCCATTGTAAGATATAAATTGATCTTTCTAGCTGTTTTTGTATGTAAAGGTTTCTTTCCCACTTCAAATATGGCGCTAGATGCCAGGACTATTAACACATGTAAAGGGAATGAAAGGAAGACCGAAAATCCGGAAGTGACGTCATGACGCATGAGCACGTGATCGGACGGAAGGTCACGTGATCGGACGGGAGGTCACGTGACGCGGAAACACGGCGAAACCGGAAGTAAGGACGGACGCCGGCAAAACGGCGCCAGATTTGAAGAGGAGAATATCATTTAAAAGGAAGAAGACCAACACTCACCACACACTTTGATAAAGACCTGGAGGTCGAAACGCGTTAGTGCTGTGTATTTTGTTATGTTATTTTAGCTTTTTCTGTATCCTTTATTTTTACCAGTAAAGTCACTTTTGATTATTGATACTGGATGTCCTGGAAGTTATTAAAGGGCGGAGAAAAAGAGCAGAGCTACTTGGAAAGCTGAAAATTGAAAGCCAGAATAAGCTTATTATTCACCTGCCACCTAAGCTAGAGCCAGCTTTATGTGGCTCTACACACTGTGAGTGACCCAATACCTGTGACCAATTGATGTCTTGTATATAACAGTGTTACACTATATATGTGTTTTTCTATTATAGGTCTAACAGGAGGTGTCCTACTTATATTAAGTATAATATACTTTCTTATTGCTCTATGTGCACCCCCCTTGTATTCTTTTTTCTATCACTTTATATTCCCACTGCAGTTTACACCAACAACACTGCCCCCTAATACTCACACACACACTGCTCCCAATACACGCACACTGCCTCCCTCACACCCACACTTCCTCCAATACACACACACTGCACCCCCATACACATGCAAACACACACTGCACCCCTAACACACATACTACTGTCCCTATTCCATGGGAGTGCACCCTGGTACTCCTGACACCATAACCACTACAGAGTGCTGTAGTGGTTATTGTGACTGTATTGTTTCTTTAAATTATCTATCGGTGCCCCTCCCAAGATTAGGTTCTGGATCAGCCCCTGTCTTCTACACTCACTGCATACACTTTTTTTCTCTGTCCCAGAATGTATAACAGAGTCTTCTGCCTGCTAGAGAGAAGGTTAGGAGAGGAGTGGACCAGCAAGTACTAAGGGACAGTATTTAGAAAGTGTAGAGCTAGCGCATCATTAGATGCATTTATGGTTCATTGAATTTAAAGTGGATTTGGAAAATTAAGGTTAAAATACCATAGCTGTGACTATCGCTGAACTGGACATTTTATTAACAGGGTTATTCACTAAAGTGAAAATTCAAAGGAATTTAAAATTTAAGACTAAAATAATTAATCTGGAATTGAAAGAATTGTTGACTTTGAAAATGTTCCTGTTGGACTGTATTAGCATTAGATTTTAAATTCACTTTGATTTCACTTTGCATTCTCAATTTTAGTGAACAACGCCGGCAGATTTAAATTCACAATTTAATTTTTAATAGATAAAGCCCATCAATGTATGTGAACCCTGCTCAGCTCAAGTTATGTATTTGGAGTGCTTGTAATTTAATGGATAGTTCACATGTGAATCCATGGGCAGAAGAATTACATTACCCGGAGTGCTTGAAAATCATGAGATTCATTTGGCTCCTTCTCTTTCAATGTGTAAGAAAAAAATTAAATAGCCAGGCACACAGTTCTGCTGACGTGCTGCTTGTTTTCCTTCAGGCAAAATGTTGCTTCCATGAATTTGCTCTTGAGGCATCCACCTGGTTTACCTTAATGTAGCATTGACCTTGATTCATCATATTCCCACTGCAGTTTACACCAAACATTACCACGCTGGTGGGGCTTACCTAACATTCCTGACAACAGGCCTCAGTGACCTAGTGGGAAATCCAGCCATGGCAGTTGGTCAACTGGCAGCCAAAATCCACTAGCAATTTAACCCCAGCAGTGCTCAGCCATTTTATTATTTTTCCCTAATATTTGCTTCAATTACAGTTTATTTCCATAGCTGAAATGTCAGACATTGTCTGTTATTACCCTACTATTATTAATGCACACACACACGTCGGCATGGTCACTGTGGCCTTTGTTAAATCTGTCTCACTTCTTGCTCATATCCCTGGTGAAATAATAAGATTGAGTTACTATCATATCTCTCTCCCCAGCATATTCGCTAACATTTGAGCGAAGGGCTCTCAGGGGAAAATTCACAGCCCAATCTCAAGAGGGGCACTAGAACATGGGCGTAGGAACCCCAAAAAATCTGGGGGGATAGCATTTTTATTCGCCGGGTATATTCTTATTCCGTAAACTAGGAGTTGTTTATCCCATTGTACAGCGCTACGGAATTTGCAGTCGCTATATAAATGATTAAATAATAACTTTAAAGGGTCACTACAGGGAAGGGGTTTTACTTACCCGGATACAGCGCCAGGATCCTCCTGATGCCGCGCCCCCTATTTCGTCAAAATGACTTAATAGGAGGGTGCGAGCAGGGAGCAATAAAACGCTTCTATTCAGAAGCGTCATTGCTCTCTGGTGCGCATGTGCAGCTTTGCCGCACATGCACAGATACTTCATAGGGCGGCATTCATGTCTCGACTAGGAAGCACCTCTAGTGGCCATCTGAGTGTCCACTAGAGGTATTCCTCATCAGTAATGTAAATACTGCCTTTTTACAAAATGGCTGTACTTACATTAAAAAGCCTGCAAAGACATGCTATAGACACCAGAACTACTACGTTTAGCTGTTGTGGTTCTGGTGACTATAGTTTCCCTTGAATATAGAGAGGAAAAAAGAATCATCACAAATGTAAGAAATAAAATGTCTGTATCATTATTCTAAAAATTATTTTAAAAAAATAAAAAAATATACACATTCCTAGCTTAATTTTTAGCACGACATATGACACAAACATTTTGTACTTTGCCGATTACTTTTTATATTTTTTTATACATATACAGATTGTGTAATACTGCCCCTGACTTAGGGTGACCACATTTCCTAACTGCCATTCAGTGACACTGTCAGAAATGCATTCCATACATTTTACTACCCGTCTCTACCCCTTCCATGAATATTAGAACCACCCATACCCCTTCCATGCACAAAAGAACCCCACTTACCCCTTCCACGCATATTAACCCCCCTACCCCTTCCATGCATATTAGTACCCCCCTATCCCCTTCCATGCATATTAGTACCCACTAACCCCTTTCATGCATATAAGAACCCATCCTACTCCTTCCATTCATATTAGTACTCCCCTAACCCCTTCCAATAATTTTTCTACCTCCCCCCTCCT